ATGGGGTTTGGAGCAACCTGGGGCTGGTGGAAGGTGTTTCCCATCCCTGGAGATGGTTCAAGGCCAGGTTCCCCGCCCCGTCCCGCTGACTGACACTGAAGCCCCGCCTCCCCCTCCGGGGCACGACGGGAAATGTAGTTTTATTGACCCCCAGCCCCACGCCATGTCCTGCGGCCCCCCACACCTACTCGCCAGCCCCACACATCTCCAGGCCCCCCCACACTTACTCCCCAGAGCCATAGGAGGAGGGGGAAGGGTTTTAAGCTGAAAAATGGGGAGATTTAAGTTAGATTTAGGAAGAACTTGTTTGCTGTGAGGGTGGGGAGAGCCTGGCCCAGGGTTGCTCAGAGAAGCTGTGGCTGCCCCATCCCTGGAGGGGTTCAAGGGCAGGTTGGAGGGGGCTTGGAGCAACCTGGGCTGGTGGGAGGTGTCCCTGCCCGTGGAACCAGGTCATTAGATGGTCCCTTCCACCCCAAACCATTCTATGACTCTAAGTTACAAATTCAAGGAGGGGTTGGATGGGGCTTGGAGCAACCTGGGCTGGTGGAAGGTGTCTCCCATCCCTGAAGGGGTTCAAGGCCAGGTTGGATGGGGTTTGGAGCAACCTGGGGCTGGTGGAAGGTGTTTCCCATCCCTGGAGATGGTTCAAGGCCAGGTTGGATGGGGTTTGGAGCAACCTGGGGCCGGTGGGAGGTGTCTCCCATCCCTGAAGGGGTTCAAGGCCAGGTTGGAGGGGGTTTGGAGCAACCTGGGCTGGTGGGAGGTGTCCCTGCCCAGGGCAGGGGGGTTGGGACTCGATGATCTTTAAGATCCCTTCCCATCTCACCTAAATTCTGTGATCCTCCATGGGGAAGGGGATCCCCCTGTGATAACTCAGGATGGTTTCTTACAAGGTCTCCTCTAGGAATGCACATCCTCCTTTCCCTAAACCAGTGCCTCTGGTACCCCCTTAACAAAAACTGTTGCTCTTAAACCCCTGGGCTCTGCATAAATCCTCTCTATAAGGACCCAGGGATACTCCACCATGCTAGGTGCCCAGGAAGCTGCAGCCCAGCCCGATGTAGACAGGGGTCTCTGTGGCACCTCTGCCCCCTCAGGACACAAGAGATGCTCCTGAGAGGCTGGTGTTCGGGTACTGACCTTTTTATTGTGCATTTAGAGGCTGCACTTGTGTGGCCGTTCCCTGCTCGCACGGGGACGGTGTCAGGACCGTGCAGCGCTGATGGAGGAAGAGCTCGGTGGCCGCTGCTTCACCTCCCGATGGAGATGGGCTCGGAAAAGCCTGGGTCGGGAACGCAGGCATTGTTCCCGCTGCCGCCTCCGGCCTTTTAGCCCTCTTCATATCCATTTTCCTGCTGCGGTAGAAAGGGCAGCCCAGGTGCGGAGGCTGAAGGCCATGGCTCTGCCTCCCCCTTCTGTGCTGCCACCTTCCTCCTCCTCACTCTGTTATTTCTGGAGCCCCCTTGCCCCCCCCCCCGTCCCTGCCTGCAGCTTCTCGTCAAAACAAACCGCTTCTGAGCGTGGTGCGTCGCGTTGGAGCGAGGAAAATGGCAAAACCTCTCGCTTTCCCCCCTCCCTGGCCACCCTGTCGTCGTTTTTCTCCATAGAGGTCTCCTTCCTCTTGGCCTCTCGGTTTTGTGTGCCTCTCCTGTTGCTGTAATTTAATACTAACAGCATTTAGGTTGGGGTGGTTATTTTTCCGGCAGGTAGGACTTTGGGCTGGTTTGTTTTCTCAAGCGCACTGTGTATTAATAGCGGCGGCACGCTGGTGTTAATTACCGCCTCCGGAGCTCGTTTTCGAGCCCCGCGGCGCGTAACCTCAGACGGCCGTCAGCCAGACGAGTTGGAGCGACAAACCCACGCGTTCTCCCCAAAAACTTCACCAATGCGTTGCGGGGAGTGTGGTTCCCGGTGGTTGGTGTGGGCTGGTAGTTGGCCACAAGCCTCACCAGACTGGTTGCCCAGGGTTAGCTCTCTGCTGTCAATTCACACCTTTCTTCCCAAAGGCAGGATAAAACTGTGCTGGAGATGGTTAGGATATTACGGGGTGACGTGAAGCGGCAGATCAGTAATTAGCTTTTATGGTTCCGTCGGCTTTTGGGGGAGGCCTCCTTTGGGTGAAGCAGAAAGAAGCCTGCCCTGTCCTGCCTCGGAGCTCGTTATTGTGGTGCCGTTTATGAGCGCGGGGGGTGGTTTATTTCTCCAATGGAAAAGTCTGCCCCGCGGCGCTGGGAGGGGTGAGCCACGGGCACGGCACCACCGGCAGCAGAATTAGCAGCGTGAGAGAAGAGGTTTGTCTTTGTGAGATCTGTCCATCCTCAGCCTCCCTCCTGTGCCCCCGCGGCCCCGTTCCTCCCCGTGCCGGGGGCTGCCCGTGCCTCTCAACTTTTCCCGGGGCTGGAAGAACCTGTGGGATAGGCTGGGAGGGGGGTGTGAGCACACACGCACACGCTTTTTCTTGTAAAAGTTGAGAAAAGCAGTATTTTAGGTGGGACCGTCATGAATAACCTGTCGGGGGAGTTCCCACTGGAAAATAATGTAGGATTTTTTTGGTTTTCACCGTGGATCCGGGTGCGTGCTGTCTCTGCGGGGAGTAGCATCCACCAGCAGCGTGGCTGGATGGCTCAGGAACGCTGCTGAGTTCCTCCTCTCTGGGTGGAACTTGTGCTCCAGTGGCACAAAAGCACCTGATTTTTTTTCCCTGTGATGAGAGTAAGTAGAAACTCAAATTTTATGTGTCTGGTGGCCACTTGTCTGGAGATGCCCATGGCTTGGTCAGCACAGAGCCGGCTCCTGCGGTGAGCCAAGGCTGCAGAGGTCGGTGGTCTGGTACAGAAAACTTCTGCAATCCATTTTTTTAAATGGTTGGAGCAGCCAAAGAGCAGGTCGTGGATCGTGGCTTGGAGCGAGGATCTCACCAAAGCTGGAGCTGCTGGCGTGTGGGGGCAGGAGAGGCACCAGCCGCCCCCCGGGCCCTTATCCTGACACCTCATTGTCAGGGAGAAATGACACGCACAAATGGCATGTGCGGCCGGCCCGAAATAGCTGCTGGCCCATGCCCGGGGAGCTGCCGCCTCCTTATATGTCTCGCTGCACATGCCATGGCCGTGGGGGGACGGGGTGCCCCTGCCCCCCCAGGTGCGCAGCATCCCGCGGCAGGGATCGCCTTTCCCACGGGCCCCGGGACGTCCTCCCCGGGAGACAACAGGCTGGGCCTTACTCTCTGGATTTAGGGGGAGAAAAACCCCAGTGTGATGTTCGAGCTGATGCTGCCGTCGGGGAAGCGGGGTTTCCTGTCAGTCTGGCCATAAAAAGGGAGGAAAGCAGCGAACCCGCGGTGAGCCCTCGGCAAGGCTGGGGGAACGGCGCCGTGTCGGCCCCGCTCCCCCCCTCACCTCATCTCTCTCTGTTCCCAGGACTGCCAGATGCTGCTAAACCAGCTGAAGGAGATCACGGGCATCCAGGATTCGGCGTTCCTTCAGGCAGCTCTCAAGGTCTGTGCCTGTTGTGGTTGTTGGGTGGGAATTTCTCCCCAGGCCCAGGCGGGTTCAGGCTCTCAGGGAAGGCGATGCGCGGGTCGCGTGTTCGCTGGCAGCTCTGCGGGCTGATAAGGAGCCCGTCCTCGTTAAAACGGCCCGTGCGTGGCCTGTGGAAGCGACAGAGTGTGAGGTGGGGGATGAGGTGGTTCCTGGGGGAGCCGGAGGGTAAATCCCTCCCCAGGTGTGTGCCCCGGCCTGTGTTTCCCTCAGGAGGCAGACAGGGCACTGCAGGAAAATAGACAAGAGGCTCATTTAAGGAAATTCTTAGATGTTTCATCCAGAAATAACATAGAGAAGAGGTCAGACTAAGTGTAAAGGCGCTCAGGCCTTGGGGACGGTCTGAGGAAAAGCCTCACTGGGTAAAAGACAAACGTCTTGAAATCCCCAGAGCGTTTGGTTCCTGCGAGTCTCTCCCAGGGCCAGAGCCCCTTCCTGTCGCGCGTCAGGCCTCCTGCGATCGCTCCATCTCCTGGGGGGAAACAAAGTCAGTTAACGGGGTCTGGATTGTCCCCCTAACAATGCCAAAGTGACAGAGACACCCTACCCTTTGTTATTTTCCTTTCTCCCTCCTGCTTGTCACCAGCAGGTTGCTCTCAGCCGTGGCTGGGGACAGCAGGGCTGATGGCCACAGGTGCATTAAATGTCATGAAAATGTAGATGAATTAACACTAGCCCCGTGGATTCTGCCCTCTCCTTCTGCCAGGCTGCCAATGGGGACCTGATGGAGGCTGTCACCTTCCTGACGGAGGAGCGCGCGGAGGGGCCGGCGGGGGACGTGGCGGCGGAGCCAGCTCCGTGGGAAGGGAGCGCTGCGGGCAAACAGTCCCCTCCCGGTGAGTCCCACGGCTCCTGCTTCACCCAGAGCTCACCACAGGGCAGCTGGGGAGTGAAACCTTCCCGGGAAAGCGGCTCAGTAGTGGTTTACTAGTGTTTGTGGAGCAGACATCAGTTACAAAGCTGTTGCTGGTTTAAACACTTGCTCTTGAGTAAGACAGAAATCCCAGGAAGCTCCTGAGGCAGAACCTCAGTTTGGCACGTTTAGGTGTAAAAAGTGTCATGGCAGTCTGCGGGAGCTGAGAATAGTTTCTTTAAACATTTTTGCTAACGACACATCCGTTAACTGGAGCATTCCCAAGTGACACTATCACCAGACAGTGATAAAGGCAAAAGTCTGAGCTGGGAGCTTGGAAGCATCACCCGGAGCCGTGGGGCTGCCCTTGTGCTGCTGCGTGAGGCTTCCACCTCCTCCAGAATGGCTGCTTTTCCTCTCTCTCTCCTCTTCCCCAGAGCCTGGGGTGGCTCAGAGCCGGGCGAAGGCAGGCCGGTCTGTGACTGTGCCGGTTTTACTGAAACCCTTTATTTCTAAAAACAACGTCAGTTCTCAACACTGATGTCAAGGCAAATACCAGCAGCCCCTGATGTTCCCCTTGATTATTCACAGAGGTTTGGAGCATTCCCTTGGGCTCTGCTTTTGCTGTGAGGAAACCCGTCCGGTTCAGGGCTGTGGGGTCTGTCCTGTCCTCCCTCAATGGCTCTTTGGGTTCCCTGGCACCATCCGAGCCAAGGGATTTGTATTTAAAGCTTGAGCTGGAAAATCAGGTTCTTATAAATCCAAAAATCCTATTTGCGAAGTGTAAAAAAAAGAAGTTTGCCTGCTCCTGGGGGAAAACTGACGAGGGTGCTGCCTCCGCTTCTAGCCCGCACCCCCGGCCACGGGGACGAGCTCCGCGCCGGAGACACCTTCAGAGCACGGGAATCGCCCCAACCTCCGGCTGCGGAAAGAGAGGCTGCAGAAAGGTCAGTGGGTCCTCAAATTGGTATTGTAAGTGGATTATTAAGCTGATAACTGCAAAAGAGCTATAAACCCTCGCGGGGAGCTGGCATTTCACGGCCTGGGCACATCTCTCGGCACAGGCCGCTGGAAGCGCATTCCCCCGAGAGCAAGAATCGCCCCAAGAGGAAGCGCTGCGAGGTGTGGGGAGAGAAGCCCAAGGGCAGCGACTGGAGGCGGGTGGGCGACTGGCCCGTGGGCATGAAGAACATCGGCAACACCTGCTGGTTCAGCGCCGTCATCCAGGTGAGGCCACGGGGGAGCTGCTGGGGTGGCTGCTCCCGGAGGCACGGCCTTTGTTCGGTAGATCCAAACACGCAGCGGCTCTGTCCCGTGGGCACCAGCTGCAGGGGGTGAATGAGACCCTGCCCAAAGGAGGCTCCTGGTTGTATTTGGTGTGATTGGGATTTATTCTGGGCGAGCACAGAAAGGGCCAAAGAGCGGTTAAATGGATTTTGTGTAAAAATAGACACCGACACGTCCCCTCCGGTGCAGCGACATCCCAGCGCTGAGGGAGCGACAGCAGCTCCACCAGCAGCTCCACCAGCAGCTCCCCAGCAAAGGGAGCTGATAATTTAATTTTGCTGCAGTTATTGTTGGCTCCGTAATGCCCGGTGTATCATGTTCCAGTGGATGGAGCACACTGAGTGAGTAAGCAGCTGGGCAGTGGGTATTATTAGCCATCACCTAAACAAGGAGAGACGACAGTAAGCGGAGCTGAGCAGATTTGTCTCTTTTCACCCATTTCACACCAGCCAAGGGACTTTCATCGTGTGTCTCCAGTTGGGAGAGGGAGTAAGAAACCTTCAGACGGGCTCCTTTCCCACTGTGACTTTTCCCTGGGTGCTTTTTCTGAGCTTGCTGATGCAGAATAGAACACTCTTGCCTAAAATGGGGGTATTTAGCCTGGAAATGGTGGGAGGAGGTTACGGTGGTGGTGGTACTAATGTGCTGACCCAGCACCTCCACCGCTCCCTCTATAAACCCCTGTTCAGTGGCACGAGGGCCAGCAAGGGATGAGGAGTAGAAGAGTGACAGCGGGGCATCGAGCCCTTGCAGACACCCACTGCTCTTCCCTCTCCTTCCCTCCCAGTCGCTGTTTCAGTTGCCGGAATTTCGGAGGCTGGTCCTTGGGTACTCCCTGCCGCAGAACGTGCTGGAGAGCTGCCGCAGCCGCACTGTAAGTTCCCATCGGGTAAAACCCTCCCCTTTCCCTCTCTCCTGGCAAACTCTTGGGCTCTTCCTCCAAGCACATTTAGTTTGGGGCCGCCCGAGAGCCCAGGGCCTGTGGTAGGGGCTTCCCAGTTGTCAGGCTGCGGTAAAGATCGATTTGGGAAATATTTTTCAAAGACAGAATCGCTGTAGGAAAAGATCGGGTGCTTCCTGTAAAGCTTTTCTCTAGAGCTTCTGACTGTGGGGCAGGGGGACATTTGTCCCATAAAAGTTCTTTGGTGGCAGAGCTGGTTTTTGAGCCAGCCTGAAGGTCCTGGAGCCCCAGCACCCTCTGAGAGCAGTCAGCAGAGGGGAGTTAGAAAATATCTAAAGAAAAAGGCATTGGTGGTTACATCATTCCAGCTTATGGCCACCGCCACTTAAGAGACTTTGCTTTATGTGCTTTCGTGTGTGCTCTCGCTACTCTGGCAAGGCTCAAGTGCAGAATAAACTCATAAATTCACTGGCTTTTGCCTTCTGTTTTAGCAGCTCTTACTTATGGCACTCTTTTCCCTAAAGATTTTGTTTCGGCTATATTTTTTCTCCAGTGCATCTGTGGGGAGACCAGATTGATCCCCAGGAACGGCACCGCCCGTGTGTCTGCCTGTGTCCCTTCTGATGTCCCCTTCTCAGGGCCCTGCACGGGGTGTGCTGTGGTGCTTTGGGTTAAGATTCCGTTTCGTGGAGTTGCAGGAGGGGTTTGGCGTTTCTCCTCTTTGCCCTGCAGGGAAAAAGAAACATCGCCTTCATGCAGGAGCTGCAGTGCCTGTTCGCCCTGATGCTGGGCACGCACCGAAAGTTTGTAGACCCCACTGCAGCGCTGGAGCTGCTGCGGGACGCCTTCCGCTCTGCCGAGGAGCAGCAGGTAAAACCCCTCACAAAGCCCTTGGCTTCCTTCAGAGCAGCCTCCAGCCAACAATCCTGTTCCACTCCCTCCTGCTGTTCCCTCCAGAGCCTCTTCCTGCGGTTGGCAGCCGCCAAGCAGCCGGCCCAGGCTCGTTTAGGCGGGATGCATGCGCTCGCTAATTAACCAGCAGCGCAGCAGGGCTCTGCCAGCACCAGCTGGGTGGTTGGGTCGCGATGGCAGCGATTTCCTCTGCTCTGGTTTTGAGACGAGCAGGGTCTTGTTATCACTCTAAACCAGCCCAGCCCTTGGGTTTCCTGCTCCTCTTGGCGGGTGCGGTGGCACCAGTTGGGGTGTTCCTGGAGCTTTGGGATCCAGCAGAGGGTGAAAACGCTGCTCAGGGCGAGCTCTGACCCTCCCCTTGTCCCTCTCTTGTAGCAAGACGTGAGCGAGTTCACACACAAGCTGCTGGACTGGCTGGAGGACGCCTTCCAGCTCGCTGTCAACGTCAAGTGAGTGGCTGCTCATCTCAGGAGTGGGACCCCACGCTGGGGAGAAACGGGTTTAAATGCAGGGCCTTAATAAATGAGAGGCCTTTACATGAAAGCGTTGAGTAAATGAGAGGGAAGAGTTATTATTTTACTAAGGATGCTCCTTAAGCTCAAAATACACCTCTGAGGTGTTGTGTCTGAATTTCCTGCACGTAAGCACAGGGCTGTTCAGTGCCCATGACCTGGAGAGTAAATAGGCGCTTTAGGGGAGCTCAGAGCACCACTGCAGAGCAAAGATCGGGGTGTTTGGAACTGTTTTTCAAAAGGTAGTGCCTTAACTTTTTTTTTGTTGTTCCTCCTTCCTGTGAGTGTTCTAAAGTGCTTTTGAGTGTGAAAACAGCTGAGAGGCTCCCTGCCCCTCTTGTGCTTAGATTGTAAACCTCAGTTTTGGCTGTAGGCAATTCCCAGGTAAAGGCTTAGGTTCTGACCGGGGCTTTTCTGAATGAGCCTGTGCTTTCCTTTCAGAAGCCCTGGGGACAAATCTGAGAACCCGATGGTACAGCTCTTCTACGGGACCTTCCTGACGGAGGGCGTCCACGAGGGTGAGTGAGGCTTTGGCAGGGTCACTCCTGGAGTGTTTGGGTTTATCGCTGCGATGGCACAGGCTTTTGTGCACGTTCCTAATGAAACTGCCCAGTTTTTTAAACTTGCAAACAGTTAGTAACATTTATAAAGTGTGTCTTGTGAGAGCATGAAATCCTCACCGGCGCTCCCTGGCAGACGTGCATACAGCGACACGTGGGTCCGTTCTGGCCTCTGAAGCGGTGCTGACAGCGAACGCCTCTTCTCTCCAGTGAGCTCATGGCTTTTGTATCATCTCCACCATCCAGGCAAGACCTTTTCCAAGCTGGAAACCTTTGGTCAGTACCCACTTCAGGTCAACGGTTACCATAACCTGAGCGAGTGCCTGGAGGGAGCCATGGTGGAGGGGGAGATGGATGGGGCGCAGGCGGTCACCTACGGACAGGAGGTGAGTTTTACTGGTTTTCATTGAGTTTTTGGTTACCTGCTGCCAAAAAATGCAACACACACAGTGAGGGGTGTCTCAGTGTATTCTGGTAACGTTAAATGGCAATTGTAAATGTTCCCTAAGAATTAAATACATGATATTTTCCGGAATCTCACGTAAATGTGTGTGACGCGGCGAGACGCCGAGTCCTCGCATGTTTGTAAAGATATGCTTCCTGAATAACCAGCTCGAGGAGCTGCCTTTAAATTGAAAAGGCCAACGTCTGCTTCTGACGCACGTGTGATCAAGTCTCTCTCTTTCTGTTGAAGCCGACCGGTCCCTGAGCAGGGGAGAACCTCTGCCTCCCTATTTTCGGAGGGTATCAGTACAGTGCATAACTCTCTGGTATGCCATTTGCGATTTGTCTCTCTCCCTCTTACGCTCTGTGTTTTCCTTTCTCCTCATTTCCATTCTTCTCACCATGCTGATTTATTTTTTATTTTTGATTTTTTTTTTTTTGTTTAAATCTCGTGAATCACAAATCAATCATAAATCCTTAGTTGCAGCACAGGAGAAAGTGAAGGTGTCCCATTGTGTTCAGCATCCTACAGGGTGGGAAATAGCACTTTGGAATGTGTCTGGTGTAGAGAGGGCAGGGAGAGGTACTTCAGCTCTGTGAGAACGTCTGGAAAATGTGCTGCTGGGGGTCAGACTGGCAGAGGAGAGGGCCCTGTCCCCTCTGGACTCAAAGGCTTATTGCTGGTATTCCTGGTGTGTTTCCAACCGCTGCGGGTGACACTGGTGTCCGCAGAGACTATGGATCATAGGGAGCTCATTGGGCAGGTTCATCTCAATCCCAGCTTTCCAGTTCCTCCACATTCTCTTCCAAAAAATAAGGGATACTGGACTGGTGGAGGTGTTTGAATCCTTCCGTGTCTGTATGGACAGAAGGAAGAGGCTCTGGTGGGATTTCTAAGAAATCTGCATCTGGATTTCACTTCCCGGGAGGTGGTGGCTGGAGGGAAAAGGGGCCGGAGGGAAGAAGGTGGATTTTCTCTTTTGAGAGCCTGGAGAGTGGCCGGGGCGCAGAGCAGCAGCGGGTTAACGAGAACTCGCATTTCTCTGAGATAATGGGAGTGTGAATCCTTCCTGCTCTGCGTTTGTGTTCCCTTGTTCCAGAGATGGGGCTGCTTCGCAAAGCGCGCCGCTACCTGCCTGCTTCCTTCCAAAGATTTTACAAAAATAATGAAAAAAAAAGAAATACGCCTTCATTGGAAATATTGTAGATGTAAATATTGTAGATGTAGATGCTGTTTCAGTCTGGCATGGGGCAGGTTTATCGTGGCAGGGACATCTTAATGGCTCCTGCGGAGGAAAAGGAGCCTGATGACCTGCTGCTGGTCTGCAGGGAACATTGGCTGAAGAGGGGCAGGGATCCTGGGCAGCAGGTGCTGGAGCCTTTTGGGATCCCAGGGAGAAAGAGGGGGTGTAAATCCAAGCCAGGGTTTTTCTTTCGGCTCCTGGAAAGTGTGTGTGAAACGCACAGAGAGTGGGTTCCTTCTTGGAGTCTCCTGAATGGAGCAGTTTGTGAATGGAGCGAGGGAGGGTGAGGAATCAGGCACCGCTCGAGGGCTTCTGTGCTGTCCTTCATCACTGCCTGTGTCCACGCTGGAAAAGGGCTCTCTGGGTGTGCCAGGCAAGGAAAAGGAGCTTTCTGAGCTGCGATGAGGCTTTTTCAGGGTAAAAATGTACAAGGGAGGCGGAAACTTTAATCTCATAAAATCTGGCTTTCTGACTAGTGACTCCATAAAGAAATTACAGACTAAATCAGTGTTTACAGGCAGACATTTAGGATCAGTCTCAAATCATTTGGGATCGGTGGGAAATGTGCCATTGTGCAGCCACCTTAAAGCAGGTCCCTGCGGGGGCGTTTCTGGTTCCGTCCCAGCGCTGGTTCACCAAACTCCCACCCGTCCTCACCTTCGAGCTCTCCCGCTTCGAGTTCAACCAGTCCCTGGGGCAGCCCGAGAAAATCCACACCCGGCTGGAGTTCCCCCAGACAATCTACATGGACAGGTGAGTTCTCCTCTACGGCACATCCACAGCCACTGCTTCACTGTAATTAAATTAAGAAGGTTGTGTGGACGAGCCAGGAAAGGTTCTGAAACACTGCGGACAGATTGGGGATGCAAGAAGTAACACGTCTCTGGGGGACACTCTGGGTTTCTCTGTCCAGGTACCTCTACTGCAGGAAGGAGCTCGTTCAGAGGAAGAGGGAGGAGATGAAGAGACTGAAGGAGGAGATGGTGGTTCTGCAGCAGAAGCTGGAAAGGTCAGTGGCCCATGACATCTATCTGTGTGCCCCACAGGAGCTGCAAACCATCTGTCTCCAGGAGCTTCCCTGTGGGAGAGACAGAGCCGGGTTTGTGTGGGGTGAGGAAATGGGCTTCCAAAACCCAGCGCCTGGGTGTGACGGCTTCTGGACAGTACTGATTCCCTGACAGGAGTAAACTCTTCAGTTATTACCATTGTCACCATGGGCTGTGATGGCAGTTTGAGGAAGCCCAGTAATACATTAAAAAAGGCATGATGTTCCTTTCTTACATTGGATGTCCCCTCCAGCCTGGCATTTGGGTTGTTAACTGGAGAGGGCAGGAGGTCGATGGCAGAGATCTGGGGTGTGCACAGCCAGGAGGTTGGATTTCCCACTGGTTTTCCCCAGCTGGGATGGAGTTCAGTGTCTCCAGGGTTGTTGCTGTGACAGGAGCGGGACTGAGTTCTGGTGGCCTTGGGGCTCTCAGGGTGTTCCGTCAGCGCGTCCCTTTGCGTCCCCTGGGTTTTCCCTTCCTCCCTTCCCTGCTGAGCCCGGCTCCATCCCTGCCTGGAAGTCCCAAACGGTCTTGTTCCTCCCCCTGAGCACCACCTTGCCCGTTCCTGCAGGTACCTGAAGTTCGGCTCGGGGCCAGCGCGCTTCCCGCTGCCCGAGATGCTGCGCTACGTCCTGGAGTTCATCACCACGAAGCCGTCGGTCACCGTCCCTCCTGCGCCGGGCCCTGGGACAGCACTCCCCCAGCCCCACGCCGAGCCCCCTCCTCCGGACAGGTCAGTGAGCAGAAACACAGGCCACTCACAGGAGAAGGCTTTGCTTCCAGCTGAACGCTGGGGTTTGCATCCTGACAGCGATGCTGTGCCGAGCCATGCCCGTGAGAGGAGTCAGTCCCTGCTCCGCTCATAATTGGACTCCATTTGTGGATCTGCCCTGTTCCTTCTCCTTTTCCAAACACATCACCATATTCCTTGTCTGAGCATCAGCTCTGAGTTCAGCTGTGTGCTCTTTTTGGGGAGGCTACTCCTTTTTTGGCTTCATCGCCCAGTAAGTTACTGCGGCAGTGGATTATTACAAGCCTGGCCAGCATGGCTGGTTTGCACTCTGAATTAAGCCAAGTAAATACTTGAGTTTCTTAGTAGTAAGGGAAGGAATTTTGACACTTGCTCCTTGTGGCTCTGTGCTCACAGGATTCTGCAAGAATTTCAGCTTCTATTTGTCCAATATTTTAATTTGCTCTGTTAAGGTCGAGTTTCAGTTTAATCGTTTAATTGTTCCTTTCAGTTTAATTGTTCTCTGTACATTTTGTACCCTCCCGGAAGGGAAATCCCTCTCTGGCTCTGGAGCAGCTTCTCTTTGGTTTATTTCATATTCTTTACCAAAAGAAAGAAAGATTGAAAAGCCTGTCCATCTCTTGGGTTCTGCTCCGCAGTGTCCTGGAGAGGCCGGACACTGGGCCTGAGGAGGGAGCGTTGCTGCCGGCCGGTCCCTCTCGGCAGCAGGGATGGAGCGCGGCCCCCCAGCCCCCGGAGCCCCCGGAGCCTCCCGCTCCTCGCCTGGTGTCGGAGGAGGAGCTGCGGCTGGTGCAGGGCTGTCTGCAGCGCTGGAGGGCAGAGATCGAGCAGGACGTGCAAGGTTGGCCCCGCTGTCTCCGCTCCGGGTTTCTTGTTGAACCCAAGTCCCTCCCGATCCCCTGGTGTGTCCCCAACTGTCACACCCCGACCTGCCGCTGCTCTGGTGCAGCTCAGCCCCGTGCTGAGTGTATTCGGGGAAGTGTGGCTGGAGCTGCCTGGAGGAAAGAGACCTGGGGGTTCTAGTTGACAATGGCTGAACATGAGCCGGCAGTGTGCCCAGGGGGGCAAGAAAGCCAGTGGCATTCTGGCTTGTATCAAAAATAGTGTGACCAGCAGAAGTAGGAGGTGATTGTGCCCCTGTACTCAGCACTGGGGAGGCCACACCTCGAGTGTTGTGTCCAGTTTTGGGCACCTCAATCCAAGAGAGATATCGAGGTGCTGGAGCGAGTGCAGAGGAGGGCAACGAAACTGGTGAGGGGGCTGGAAAACAAATCGTATGAGGAGCGGCTGAGGGAGTTGGGGCTGTTTAGTATGAGGAAGAGGAGGCTGAGGGGAGACCTCATCACTCTCTACAACTTCGTGAAAGGACACTGTAGAGAGGTTGGTGCTGGTCTCTTCTCACAGGTAATTAGTGACAGAACGAGAGGGAACGGCTTCAAGCTCCAACAGGGTAGGTTTAGATTGAACATTAGGAAAGAATTTTTCACTGAAAGAGTGATAGGGCATTGGAACAGGCTGCCCAGGGAGGGGGTGGAGTCCCCATCCCTGGCTGTGTTTAAGGGCCGTTTAGATGCAGTGCTGAGGGACATGGTGTAGGGGAGGACTTTGTAGAGTAGGGTAGATGGTTGGACTCGATGATCCCAAGGGTCTCTTCCAACCTCAATGACTCTATGATTCTATTGGGTGGTTACTGCGAGGCGTCACGCTCTGCAGGGAGAGGGGTGGCAGAGCCTGGGGAATCCTCACTGTTGTCTCCGTATTTCTCTCCTGGGCACAGATCTGAAGGAGTCCATTGCCAGAGTCCAGCTCTCCATGGAGCACATGTACTGCGACCCCCTTCTGCAGCAGGTGAGAGACACCACCTCAGTGGGTAAATGCTGATATTCTCCTGTGTTAGTCGCTGCTGAAGTTGTCCATCTTCATAGAATCATAGAATGGTTTGGCTTGGAAGGGACCTTAAAGATCATCCAGTTCCAAGACTTTATATACTTTATTGTATGTAAAAAATATCCCAATATTATGATGAAGCAGAGAAAGGATTCTTTATGAAGATCTTGTTGCTTTTCCCCTAAAAGTCAGTTCTCACTTAGTAGAAAGCTTCCCATGTGAGTCCAGAGTCTTGTCCTGGGCTACGGCTGTGAGTGCATCCATACAGGGTTCGGAAGAGTTAATTGACTGAGCTCCTGTCTGATCGTGGGGTGCAGGTTCCCTACCGCCTGCACGCCGTCCTGGTGCACGAGGGGCAGGCCAACGCCGGGCACTACTGGGCCTTCGTTTACCACCAGCCTCGGAAGAGCTGGCTCAAGTACAACGACATCTCGGTGACGGAGTCGTCCTGGGAGGAGCTGGAGAGGGATTCCTTCGGCGGCCTGAGGAACGCCAGCGCCTACTGCCTGATGTACATCAGCGACTCCGTGTCCCGCTCCCTCCCAGGTACCGCGGCCCCAACTGCCGCTTCTGAGACCTCTCTGTGCCTTCCTGTCCCTCCTGGGCCTTACATTCCTGGGCTGCTCTTTGGCTCAGTTCTCCTCTGACGATGCAGAGGACTTCACCCCCAGACAAGGGAAATGATGAATTCATTTCTCAGTCCTCAGTAGGGCTGAAAACTGGTAAAAGAGCTGTTCTGGTGAGAAGAGGAGCAGAAGGGGGTGTTATTCCCCAGTGTAAATGCTGCAGCTGCCCCTTTGTCCCTTCTAACACCCCTCTCTTGCTGGGGGCTGCATGCAGAGTTCACAGGTTCCTTCCTGAGGGTGCATGGGACACCTCCTGCTTTATTTCTCCTGGTTTTATCCCAGCACCTCGGTTTTCGACCCCAAATGCAGCCCTGGCTTCGCGCGGCCTTTCCTGGCGCACGAGTCGCTGGTAGCGGCAGCTCAGGCCGTTTGCGGAGCCGATGTATAAATAGTCCTGGGCAGAAATTATCCTGCACGTGGCACTCTCCATGGCAGCAGCTGTAGAAGAACCTCATCATTTCACGCGTGGTTCATTCTGCTGTAATAAATAGCAAGGAACAATGGAGAGCCGTCGTTGTGTTCAGGGCTGAATCTGGCTGGTGAGGATCTGGGGGTTGGTCTTTGTCCGTCTTTCTATGACAGTTCCATTTCTGAAAGGAACCCATCATTTTTCCCCCATTTAATGCGTTTTTTGTTGTTTTTTAAAGAGGATCTGCTTTCACAAGGGGTGTGTAAGAAATATCTGGTGGGGAGAATTGCTGTTTGCTTTCGATAAATGTTAAGCCCTGTCTAAGGCTGGTGCTGCTGGGGGTCTGTGTGGTTTTACAGCTGGATATTGAAGCAGGTCTAAGAAGCACTGAGAAATAGGGGTGGGATGCCTGTGGAATCCCTGTGGCTCCCTCCCTGGCACCCTGTGCTGTGGATACGGTGCCTGGGGCTGACTCTGCATTTCCCAGCTCTTGGCCCAGGAAACGGGTGTGTTTCTCACCTCCTGCACCGACAGGCTCCGTTTCTGCAATTTCTCTCTCACAGATGCCATCCAGTGGCAGAACAAAACTGGGGTTTGTTCAGGATAACTCTAGATTTGTCTTTCTTTTTGCACTTTTGCTTAGGAACCACCTTAAATTACCAAGCCAGTAGAAAGCTGGTTTTTTTCCCCATTTATCCCTTGGGCACTTTGCCTGTGGTGTCAGTGCTCCCTGACCCCATCCCCATCTCTTGCAGGTGGGGAGGAGGGGGCGGCGGAGGCCCAGGAGGAGCTGGAGGCCCTGTCCCCGGAGCTGAGGCACTACCTGCAGGAGGACAACTGGCGCCTGGAGCAGGAGGCGGAGGAGTGGGAGGAGGAGCAGTCCTGCAAGATGCCCCAGATGGAGCCCTCGCCCGCGTCCGAGTCGCAGGAGCTCTCTTCTGAGTCGGGACCAGGTGATGCCGCGTCTGACCTCCCAAACCACGACAGCCAGAGGGTCAGAGACACGGCTTTGCTGGGATCAGCTGTGGCTGCAGCTCGGGGGGGGGCTCTCCTGGCATGGAAGAGGCTCTTTTGCTGGTTTTCCATGGCCATCCTTCCCAGCTTCTCACCAGAAACGCTGCTTTCCACTCATTTAATCACAACGAGCTAATCTCATTTCACTTCTAGGCCTTTTTGGGTTTTTTTTATATAACTATGGCGTAGAAAACATTCAAGGTCTGTCCTTTGGAGCAGGGAAGTGTTCCTTGGCCATCCTTGATGGCATGTGCCACCCCCACAGGAAAGGGCACACACAGGCTGAGGGTGACAAGTCCTCGCCCCAGGGTGGATGCAGCAGCGGGTGAACACTGCACGGAGCAGCCACGGAATGTTCTAGAGCAAGAGAGGAGAGTAAATGTGACTGTTTTCTTACTAACACCCTCTCTGTCCCCAGACCAGCCCTCAACCTGCCAGCAGAGCCCGCGCTGCCTCTCCTCGGAGCATGCCAGGATGTCCCAGGAGCAGACAGCCCAGGCCATCGCCAACACGGCTGAAGCCTACAAGAAGAACGGCGTGGAGGCGGCGCTCTGCGAGGTGGGGCTCAGCCCGGGACACAAACCCTTCTCCTCCCTGTGTCATTCCTCTTGGCAGCCCTCTGCTTTTCCCATTTCCATGCCACTCTGCCTGGTGTAGCTCTGTCCCTTCTGCTCTCTGTGTTTTCCTGTGGTTTTTCTCACTCTGTTTCCTCTTTCTTTGCTTGGCCACAGCCCGAGCAGGCAGAGCCAGCGAAGGCTGAGGCCGAGCCCCCCCAGGACGCCCCCGAGACAGAGCCCCCTGCCCCGGCTCGCTCACGGCTCTCGGAGGTGGAGATCCCCAGCGTGGGGAAGATCCCCGTTAGGTCCGACGCAGACGGGTATAACGAGGAGGTAGTGATCCCGGCGCAGGGGTTAATTACTGCCCAGCACTAACCCAGCACCAAGCTTCTTGCACGTCGGGTGCTACAGTCTGGCAGGGAACGGCGCCCTGTAAAAGTGTGTTTCCCTGGTGTGGAGATGGAGAAATCCGGTCACTCCCCTTCTGACTGCCCTCAGAAGAGCAGCTCTGCAGAAGCGCTGGGCTGTTAGATCCTCACGTTGTTCCTTTCAGCCTTCTTTGTGGCACGGCTGTACCAGAATTGATCCTGGTGGTGTTAATTTATCGACAGGCGTCTCTGCTCCCCTCACCCAGTGTGGTGTCTCTCTGCAGCCATTAACACAAACAGCGTGAGGTGCTTTGGGGGGTCTCGCTCTAACCCCACTCACACGTGTAGTAAATGCTCTCATTTCTGTTGCCCGGGGATGTGGCTTTGCCTTCTCACCCCCTGAATTGTTGAGTTCGAGGCTCGGAGTGACCACCCTTGGGGCCTTTCGGTGCTAACCCCCTGCATGTGAGGTGTGTGTGCTGGAGGGAGTGAGAGGCAGCTTGTCCCGCCGCATATCCACACCACTCCCTTTACACCTCCGGTCTGTGTCCCTCTCCTCACCCTGCCTTCTCTTCTCTCCCTCTCTCCGGCTGTCTCCCTTGGTGGGCTGTCTTCTCCTGCCCTCCTGGAAGGTGATGCTGAGCCCAGCCATGCAAGGCGTCATCCTGGCCATTGCAAAAGCCCGGCAGACCTTTGATCGCGATGGGTCTGAGGCAGGGCTCGTTAAGGTATCTTGTTTGCTGGCTAATTCCCAGAGTAGGGGTGTCTGTTCTCAGGGCATGGGGAATCCATGCAGCATTGACCTGGAGGGAATGGGAAGGGAACGATCGGTGCAGTTTTTCTCCTGGTTAAAGACCTTTTCATCCACTTTTCTGTGACTGCTCTTCTGTTGTGACAACGTCTTTGGTTCTAAATGAGTTTCAGAGTTTGTAAGAAAGCGCTCCCTCCTCCCAGCAGAAACAGCAACCTCTTTTTTTACTTTTCACTATTTTTTTGGCTTATTCTTTGAGCATTGGCACTTCTCTCCATCTGGGTAATGAAACGTAGATTTTCTCTGCGTGCCTTTGAGAATCTCATCTCTGGGGCCTCAGTGCATCGTCAGAAAATAAGCCAGCGCTCGTGAAATGTTTGTTTTGGTGCTGAACATGCTCACGGGGACCTCCTTCGTGAAACGTGTCCTCGAGAAGCCCCCCTCGGAGGGAGGGACTGGGCAGAGCGAGCACTGCCAAACCTGGAGGTGGGTGGGAGATTTTCCAGGCTTCCCTGCTCCATGGGACGGGCATCTCCTGTGGGAATCCGGTGGTGCCAGGACAGCTTCAGGCCAGGTGCGTGGCATTCCGGTGGCAGGGGGGTGACCGCCATGTCCCCTTGCAGGCGTTCCACGAGGAGTACTCCCGGCTCTACCTACTGGCCAAGGAGACCCCCAGCCCTCGCAACGACACCCGCCTGCAGCACGTCCTCATCTACCTGCTGCAGAACAACGCTCCCCAGCAGGTGGTGGAGCGCACCCTGCTCGAGCAGTTCGCCGACAGGAACCTCAGCTATGACGAGAGGTTGGTGCCGGCGGCTCCAGGAGGGGCTTTTCCCAGCCAGAGGCCGTGGTGCTGAGTCTCTCTCTCTTCCCATGTGGCAGGTCGATCAGCATCATGAAGGTGGCGCGAGCCAAGCTGAGGGAGATCGGCCCCGACGACGTGGACATGGAGGAGTACAAGGTGAGGGACCAGAGAGCCTTTCTCTGTGGTTGGTTTGTCACTGAGGAGGTGCAAAGCCTGCAGAGGGTACAGCCCCACAGGCCTTGGGGTGGGGAGGGGGTGCCAGACCCACAGGCTGGCAGGGGGTGATGCTGATGGCCCTGCTCTCTCCTCCCCGCAGCGCTGGCACGAGGACTACAGCCTGTTCCGCAAGGTCTCGGTGTACCTGCTGACGGGGCTGGAGCTCTACCAGAACGCAAAGTGAGTGCCTCCCTCTTCGCTGCGGGCTCAGGAGCGGCTGCGGCCGAGGAGCGGAGGGAACTTTGGCAGAACCTCTTCTTCCTGCCCTGTGACGGGCAGTTTGTGTTCAGGCTTGGACCTGAGGCCAGGAGGCTCGCTTTTCACTGGCCACCAGTCCCTTCTGGGACCCCCAGTCAGCCTTGGTTAAGGGTTTAAACGTTACACCGAGGGACTGGCTGTGGCTGCCTGATGGTTTCCGAGTATTTCCCCTCATTTTTCCCTCCATGACACAGGGTTTTGTGTCCTCACGTCCAGAGGTGGCTTTGCAGGAACAGTTTCCATCACTCTTTTTTTTCCCTCTGGACTCCTGTATTAATGTTAAACTGCCTCGAATTGGACACTGCTTTGTGTGAGCACACGCTTGGAGGGCTCCAGGCTCTTAACAATTGCAAAGGGGTCTTTTTTTTTTAGCCATCACTGGTTTAGAAAGTGTATATTGCATTAACAGTGGTGTGGAGAAGTGCCATTTTATGAAGGGTTTGTAGTTTGAAAAGTCATTTTCCCAGCCTGGAAAATAACCCGGCTTCCAAATTATCACTGGATGGAGCCAGGATTGAGCTGGGGGGCCATGACCCACCAAGTGCAGGGAGAGGAGAGGCTGGGCCAGAGGCGCTGGGGCTTCCCGTGGTGCCCCAGTCCCTGCACTCTTCTCCCTCCGGGGGTTTATAAATTAGAAGCCTTTTGCACTTGGGCCGAAAAGGAGCGTTAATTGCTCACTGTAGAGCGCCTGTTCGGTTCTGCCGTGGCAAGGAGGTGGGTTTTGCCCTCGGGCTTGATGTTGGCCACCACTTGGGCCATGTGGCGAGTGTCTGTGAGCTGCCCCTCTCGCAGGTACCGGGAGGCCCTCACCTACCTGCTCCACGCCTACCAGAGCAACGCCCGGCTCCTGCGCAAGGGGCCGCGCCGCGGCGTCAGCGAGCCCCTCATCGCCCTGTACCGCAGGAACTGCCTCCTGGTGGGTGCCGGGGCCCGGGGTGGGGGGACACAACGGGTCCCACTCGCTGCTTGGGTCGGTCTCTGTCCCTTCCCTTCCTCCCCCCTCCCTAATGTTTATTTCTAATATTAAGGGCTTTTTCTCTGAGCCAGAGATGGTGTCCTTTTCCACGGGGGGAGAAAAGAACAGCATAACATTGGATTTGTTCTCAGTTGACGCTGGGTGGTTGCTGCGGCCTCTGCAGTGGCCTCTGTGGGGCCCATTGCCCAGCTCCTGCCCCTCGCCACGCGCCAGCAGGGGCAGGGAAATGCAGGGAATAATAATTCCGTGAAGGAATGCGCCGTTCGGGGGGGGGAGTGGGCAAAGGCAGCGCTGGGTCTTGGCATCTTAAAACCAGCCTTAGAGATACCAGCTGTAGCTAATGAGACGTGTGTGTGTGAGTGTGTGTGTTTCCCAGCCTGTGACCCTCCCTGTCTCTGCCTCCCCTCCAGAAGCTGAACGAGGTGGCAGCGTCGCTCTTCATCAGCCGGGAGGAAGGTGGGGTGGCGGAGGGCATGGGCATCCTCAACGAGCTGGTCATCCCCTGCATGCACCTCATGAGCAGCTTCGAGATCTCCAGGGAGGACCTGGACGCGCTGGAGGCCACCAGGAGCCGCTGGTGCTCCTACCTGGGCCGGGAGGACATGGACGGTAGGGACGGCGGCTCTGCGGGGTGTGGGGCTGGGTAGGGCACGTTGGGGCGTTTCTGGTGGGAGAGGAGAAACGTATTTGGGTCACCCAGTGTCATAGAGAAGAATTTCATCATTTTCTGCACAGAAGCTGCTGAGGGAGGGTTCCTCCACCCGGGAATGGGAAAAGCTGCTCTCTAAGGGATGGGCAGCATTACCTGGAGGGGTCTGGTGGTGGTTTGTCCCACTGACGGAGGGTTCCCCATAGACAGCAGGCTCAGCCACTCTTCAGGAGAGGGAACAGGTTGGAAGGGGGAGCAGATTCAGGGGGTCTTGGCATTTGGCAGAGAGGTTTGTCCTTTTAGGGCTGAATTTCGGTTCAGTGGCTGTTGTTCTGTTTCCCTCTGGAGCCAGGAGTGGGGCTCCCATGTGACCCCTCTGGGTCGTTTTTGTGAAGAGGAATTGGTTTTGACCCCCGTGGCCTGTGTGTGAGGGGCTGGGGAACCGTTACGGGGGGCTGTCATTAGCAGAGGGGAACTTGTACAGGAAAATGAGCTAAAAGCACAGAGGTTTATTCTCAAAATACTGTGGTAAGGGATAGAAGTTGGGTAAATTTATGGATAAATTTACGTTTCCCATTCTGGGGCTCACAGCAATGGCGTTTGCTGACACAGAAAGTATTAAAGGAACAGGAGGAGGCAGCATGTGCTCCCAGACCCTGGGAGCTGCCTCGTGTCACCCCTTTCTGCTGCTCTGCCCCATTCCAGGGACGCGTTGATGTTGTCCCCTCCTGGAGACAGCCTTTGCCTGCCGAGCTCTGAGCTCTCCCAGGCTGTAAGGTCAGACAGGACAGGAGGAAACGGCCTCCTGTTGTGCCAGGGAGGGTTAGGATGGATATTGGGAAACATGTCTTCCCCAAAAGGGCTGTCAGGCATTGGAAGAGGCTGCCCAGGGCAGTGGTGGAGTCACCATCCCTGGAGGGACTGGAAAGTGGTGCTGAGGGACATGGCTTTGGTGGGTTTGTCGGTGCTGGGTTTATGGTTGGACTCGATCTGAAAGGTCCCTTCCAGCCCGGACAATTCTATGGTTCCCACAGGTGACAAAGGTGCTCTGTCTTCTTCAAGAGCAAAGTCAATATTTGAGTGTCACCTTGAGGACACATGGCTCTTTCTGCCCTGCCAACGGTCCAGTGCCTTGTACGGGAAGGTGGCTGTGTCCTGGTGGGACATGGCACTGTCCCCAGGGCAGGCGGGTGGCAGCAGGACACCCCTGTCCTGAGTCCTGGGTGGGTGGCAGGGCTCCAGGTCCAAGCGGGACCCATGTGGGACCCCGCCGGTGGGAGAGGGGCAGTTTTCAGCGCTGGAAGGTGATTCTCTGAAAGGTGTCACAGCTCCTGGGGCCTCTGCCGCCTGCAGTGGCGCTGACTGTCCCCCTCTCCCCCCACAGCCAAGCTGCAGATGAAGCTGGGCGAGCTGCTGCCCCGGCTCCTCGACTGCTCCACCGAGGTGGTCGTCCTCAAGGAGCCCCCCAAGATCCGCCCCAACTCCCCCTACGACCTCTGCAGCCGCTTCGCAGCCGTCATGGAGTCCATCCACGGGGCCTCGGCCGTCACCGTGAAATAGAGCAGGAACAGCCGCCGTGCCGTGGGGCCTGGCGTCCCCCCGGGGCCCCCCTAGCACCCCCCCGGGCCCCCCCGGCGGGCAGCGCTGGCCAGGGAGGGGTGACCCGTGTTCAGAGCCGTGTTTTTTGTAAATAGGAAGGGATAAAAAGCGGGATTGCACTTCTGGGAGGAAAGGCAGAGCGGGGACGGGGAGGACCCAGCCCAGGGCTCCAGTGGGACCAGGTCCCCAGCAGCACCAGCCACCGCGGGGTCCCCGGGGCCACCCCAGCGGGTTTGGGTGTTTTGGCAGCTTTTTAGAGACAGATCCCGGGTCTGTGCTGGCGGCAGAGCGAGAGCCGGCTCCTCTGGCTCCTCTGGCCTGAGGTCCTGCCCTGTGGCAGCTGGAGGGGGCACTGGGAGCACTGGGAGTGGGGTCAGGCTCGGAAGGAGGTGGTGGGCTGCGTGTTCAGGGGGCTCAGGCCAGTGTTTGCCTTCTGTGTTTTAACTGGCAGGAGAAAACACACAGGAGTCTTCCTCCGAGGAAGGCACAAGCAAATCCTGGGGGGTCGGCGTGGCCTGTTCAGGGGCATCCCCCCAAAGGATGTTCCTTTTGGGGGTCTGGAGCCAAACTCCCCCCTCCCAGGGGCTCCCCGTGCCGCGCCGGTGCTGGCTGCCAGGCCCAGAATCCGCTCTTTTTCAGTTGCTGGTGGTTTGGGTTTGAGTTGGTTTTTCTTGAATTGACTTTGTATAAAACCTGTGCCCCCTGGGGGTCCCCTCGGGGTCCCCTCAGCCCGTGTGGGCGCTGGAGCTGTGGCCGTTGTTCTAAACCCAATGTTGTGGGGGCGCGGGGGGGTCCTGTCCGTTGGGACTGAGCAGATGTCTCTAAAGTGCAATAAATGCCTCTGTTCTACGTTAGAATGAAAACCCTCCCGCTCTGCGTTTGTTTCCCTCTGGGGCTCCGACACCGAGAAAAGGTGGGAGAAAAGACAAAAGTGTAAAGTTGGGAGAATTCCTGCAGGTCGGGGACGCCCCGCGAGGGGCAGAGCAGGGTCCCCAGCCCAGCCGGGCGCTGCCGGGCAGGAATTCCACCTCTTGGGGCTCTGAGCGCAGCGGGGCTGGGGGGAGAGGCTGGGCCTGAGGAACCCTACCTGTTGGGGATCGATGCTGGGGGGTGTCTCTGTAGTCGAGGTTTTTGGGGTGAGGACTCTGTCCCAGAGCCTTTCCCGGGGGGAGGCTGCTCCGCGCTCATCCCGGGGGGTTCGGGAGTTCCCAAACAAGCGGCAGAGGAGAAACCTTCACGTTAAATTAGTGAAGAGGAGGGAAAACCACTCTCTTCCCGCAGCCAAAATCTATTAATTCGGGAATTGAAACGTTTAATTACGTCTTGAGCTGCTCCCATGCGATGTCAGGGCAGCCTGTTCCTGCCCCCGGCGTCGCTGGGGCCAGATACGGATTTCGCAGGGAGAGGGGACCCTGGGGCAGGGGCCGTTCCCAGCGCGACGCCCATGTTCCCAGGACTTGTTCCCCGTGTGAAATCCCTTGTTTTAGGGAATTTGCACAGTGTCTCGGGCTGGGAGTTGCCGCTGGGTCCCTCCGTTCTGGGGGTGTGCAGCTCCAAAAGCTCCCCCAAGAGATTCCTCCCTTCTCCCAGGGGTTTGAGGAGGAACCTGAAGCCGTTCCTGTCAGGGGTCCTCCTGCAGGTAAGGGGATGCTGCAGGGCTGGGAATGCTGCTTTTTCCATTTTTCCCCCCATTTTTGTGACAGGGGTGGCAGGAGGTGACCCCCAAGGGTCTCGCTCTGGAGAAGAGGCCCCAGACCCGGTGCCAGCATCACCGTTACTGGCCCATGGAGGACTTGGCATTTCCAGGCGGGTTTGTCCCCGCTCTTTTGTCCCCAGGAGGAGGATGTGGTTTGGGGAGGGAACCCTGGATTAGGAGAATCTGCGTCAGGTTTCGCCCACTCTTTGTGTTGCTGCCAGGAAGGAGAAATGCCCAGGGGCTGCTCGGAAAAATAAAGAGCAAAGGCTCCTCCCGGGCACGGGTCAGTGCCGGGGCCGGGGGGGCTGGATGGGGCTGGGAGGGAGGGGGGTCCTGGCTGGAAACCTTTGCTGGGCGCCTCATCCCTTTGCGGGGTGCGATGGGGGCTCGGAGGCAGAATGGACTCTCTTTGCTTCTGGGCTGGTCCCAGCTCTGGAGGGGCTTTGGGGATCGTGGCCGAGGGCACCCCCATCCTGGCCCCCGTTTTACCCCCTCCCTCAGGGAGGACCCAGCACCCGCCTCCCCCTGAGCCCCGGCATCAGGAACCCCAGGGAATCTCGGGTCCCCCCTGCCCCTTCGGCCGAGCAAAGGGCAGGTTTCCAAAGGGGCTGTGGGAGGAGGGTGGACTTTGCCTCCCCCGGGAATGCCGGAGTCGGCCGGGGGCTTCCTCAGGGCCGGTCACGCGCGGCAGCTGGGAGCCCGCAGGGATTAAACCCGCCGTGAACCCGCTCCTTCCCGGGGCAGGCTCCGGTCAGGACTCGGAGGGTTCATCCAGCCCCACGGTCCCGCTGCCGGGGGGGCTCTCTGCGTCGGGAGAGCGTGGAGGAGACGGTGAAGGGGACCCCCAAAGCTCCTGCCCCTGGGTGCGGGCGGAGGATGCGCTGGAGGAGCTTCCTCCCCGAAGGTCTGTGGGCTCCATCCTCTTCACCAGGAGCTGAGGGGGGTCAGGGCAGGGGATGTGGCCGCTGCCACCCCACCTTTGCGGGTCCCAGGCACTGCCGGGCTCCCCTTCTCCCTCCCCCCCCTTTTCCACCTTCCTCCTCTCTTGTCTTTTCCCCCCAAATCTTTTCCACACAGACCGAGGCCCCGACGGCTCCCGTCCCCTCGTCCCCTCGACGCCGCTCCCCGTCCCCAGCACGGACAGAGGCTGCCGACGCCGTCACCGTTTATTGGAGGTGCGTGGGAGCGACGGGGACACGCGAGGCAGGAGCTGGGGACAGCAGTGGACTCGGCGGCGGGGGGACCCGCGGGGGACGCCGGGGCGGCGCGGTTGGTGAGTGCCACCATTGCCGCCCGCAGAGCCCGGCGCTGCGCCGCCGCCTCCCAAGATGAGGA